TCTGTCTTAAATTTGAGAAATCATCCCTGCATGGCCGCCATTCTTGCCCCCCCCCCCCCCCCCCCCACCCCACCTTTTTTCTATTCTTGCGAATTTTCGGCACATATAGCATATTGTTGAGAGTCAGCTCTTTTCCTAAGGTCATCTTCAGAACCACCTTTCCTTGTCCCTTGATTTCAGAAATTGCTGAATTTTCCATGAACAATTTCTCCCCATTCTTAATTGCTTCAAACGCAGCAAACAGCTCCTTATCAGCGCACATATGCCTCATAGCACCGGTGTCAATCCACCACTCCTTAGAGTTTGAACCCACTATGTTTATTTCAGAAATGACAGTTGAGAGATTCAACTTAGACACATCTTGTGCCATGTAGTCAACCACATTTACTTTTTTCTTCTTCTTTGGCAATTTGCACTCCGAAAACTTGTGACCTACTTTGTCACAATTGAAGCATTTTCCTTAAAATTTCTTCTTAGAAATTCCACCTTTCGGTCCTTGCTTGGTCCTTTTGCCACCGGATGATCCAGACTTGTTTTTGTAGTTCTTACTATTTTGACCATGCTCCACAATATTAGCTTTAGCAGCACCAGGATTAAATCACTTCTTTTCGGAACTCTAGTTGTCTTCTTCAATTTGAAGTCTGCTAATTAGTTTTTCGACATTCATTTCCTTTCGCTTATGCTTCAAATAATTTTTGAAGTCTTTCCATGCGAAGGACAATTTTTCAATAATTGCAGCCACTTGAAAAGTTTCACTTAAAATCATCCCTTCGACATGAATTTCGTGAAGAATCACTTGGAGTTCTTGCACTTCACTGATAATTATTTTGGAGTCCACCATTTTATAATCTGAGAATCTGCCGACAATGAACTTTTTAGGCCCGGCATCCTCAGTTTTATATTTTCGATCCAAAAACTCCCACAACTCCTTAACAGTTTTCATAGTACTATACACATTGTCTAGTGTGTCTGCTAAGCTGTTCATAATATAGTTTCGGCACAAAAAATTTGAGTGGTTCCAAGCATCAAATGCACTAATTGCTTGAATATTTCCTTCACCCTCATTGAGTTTTGGAGCAGTCATAGTCACGAATCTCGCAAAATTCAAAGTGGTCATATAAAATAACAATTTTTTGCAGCCACCTTCTGAAATTCAAGCCATTGAATTTTTCCGATTTTTCTCCATGATTAATCGGAACATTAACGGTATAGCCAATTGTTGGAGCCACTGTTTGACTCACAACATGACTTGACAATTTAGCCACAGTCTGAGCCATAACAGAGCTTGGCTCTTGAGCCATAGCTGAGCCCATAGCCTGATTTCTAGCTGGCACAATCTGGGTCACATCCATGTTGGTCGATTCGGTTACCATTTCTGAAAATCAAAAAAAAAAAATTAGTTTCCAAAATTAACTGTATAAGAAACCAATTTTTTCCAAAGAATATGTTTTAAGTTTATTGAAATATAGTAGTGTTAATGAAATCGGATTATCGCATACCGTATATGTAGTTTAAATACCGATTTTAAGCTACTATATATGCAATATACCGTATATGTAGCTTACCGTCTTTACAGGAAGCTTACCGTATATGCAGCTTACCGTATTTGCAGCTTACTTACCGTATTTGCACCTTATCGTATTTGCAACTTACAGTATTTGATAGCTCAACGTATATGGCAGTGCAGCTCATTGTATATGACAGCTTACTGTATTTGACAGCGAAACTCACCGTATATGCATGAAATTATCATAAACTATTTTTATTAAAATAACACAGATTTTTTTTCAGTAGAAAAATCGTATGTGTAATATACATATACTGAATTGCATTTACCAACTGTTAGCAATAAGATTCAAATATACATATATATATTTTTTTATTTCTAACATAAATATAAAAACAAGTAAACTGCAAAATATATGAATTTAGTAAATTGCAAACGTGTAAATCGCAAAATAAATAAATAACTTGCAAGAATAAATTACAGATATGTAAATAAAATTTCAACCTGAGGCCTGTGCGAACACAGTTTTCTTAAAACAGATTCGCCCCCTCACCGTAAGTGCTTGAAATCTAATTCGAGCGTATGTTTCCCAGGTAAGAACGGTAAAACCTGTAGTATTTGAGCACCACAGAAACTGCTCCGGTGAACCGATACATCACCTGAACAATATCACCACGACTTTATTGGACAAATATGTGTATGCAAGAAGAACTACTGAAAAAGGTACAGATGCGGAGAGGAAGATGACGAATTTTTCATCTGTGTAAATTGCTAGAAACTGAGTTTAATTATATAAACTTAATTTGTCCATTAACCATTGGAGTTATATCAGTTTCTGGAGTTTCAGAAATTCAAAAGTCAGTAGATAAAGTAAGAAAAAAATTGCAAACCGTGGGCTTTCTGAAGGGGCCAATTTTTGCTTCGTTCGATCCAACAATCGTGTACGCAGGTCGCGTCCGCACACAAGTTCAAGGTCTGAAGGCAATTTCGGTCCGAGATTTGCACCCCTGTGCGCACACGTGGAGAGAACCTCTATGCTACATATGATTACACCTTTCCAATATATAGCTATATTTAAAATGGTTCTTGCTTTCATATTTTTCCTATGTGAGACTAACTTCAATTTTTTCCCACAAAACCATCTTCCAATGGTCATCTTTGAGTTCCAATTTCTCATTCACTCAAACTTCATTTTTGGCAAATAAATATAAGATTTTAATACTTTCACGGAGGAGAATACGGATCAACTTTGATATTCCAAATTGGACCAACGGGTCCCATCGAAAATTGTGCCAAAAGTGATTCGTTCACTCATTCTTTCCAACAGAATCCACCCTGAATAAGGGTTTGTTTGGTCTTTACTTTCTATAGAAGAGCTCTTAAAGAAAGTCACTTTAATTTTTATTTGGAAACTAATTTTTAAAAGTATTTTCTATTTCGAAAGTACTTTTAGAAGAAGTCACATTAGATTAACTTCATCTAAAAAATAAAAAATAAGGCTAAACGGGCCCTAAAAGCAGCATCCTCTTTTATAGTGTTCTTGAAGGATACTTAGAGATTGATTGGTTTGAACTAATATTTGATCTAGGATATTGTTGACAAAGGTGTGTTGGTAATCAACAAAATATTCTCGTTGGTAGTTCCGTCTCAATCGCCAACGTTTATTGGTTTAATCACCAAAGATATCATTGTCAATAGTTTTATCTATGATTTTAAATATTAATTATCAATAGTCGTATCGTCAACGATCATGGACAGTATTTAATGTGTCATGACCAAAGCATCGTCGATGATTCTATGCAACATCACTGACAATATTATTGTCGTAATCATTGTTGGTAAGGCCACTTGATGATTTTATCTAAAGCCCCCATGAGCCGTATTTGCTTGAAATGCTTTTCGTCAAGCTTTTTCATTGAAGATTGACTATCCCCTCTATTAAAATGACTTAAGTGTTTTGGTACATGAGGCGTCATCACAGCTATTTCATTCCCCCTCATTGAAAATGGATATGTGTTTTTGCATGTTTAAAGCAATAGTGAGTCCTTCCTCCTCCCAATAAACCATCTAAGCAGTGGTCCAATAAGGTGCAATGTTTTAATCTCTTTGTGTGGTTAAACAATAAAAATAAGAGTAATGCTAATTGTCATTAGTGTTGATCATTATCAACATGATTAAATGTCAATAATTAAATGTTAATAACTCTTTACATTTAATTGAACTATCGTTTAATATCATGGTATTATCACATAGCGTGATGATGGCTACGAATAATGACAAATATCATTATTTTGAAAACAATGCTCCATTTTTATGCCACGTTATGATTTCCATTACATGAGCATACTAATATAAAAATAGAAGTCCAATAATTACTTGTGAAAAATTAAATTCTATAATGAAAATCAACGCTTTCGAATTGCCTATGGATAACGATAAAGTTTTATAGAGAATTTTATAATGTTTCAATAGAATACACCATAACAGAAAACGATTTTTGCACGTAACAATTTATATAATGAATTACAGAATGATGATACGTCAAAATATAAGTGAAGAAATTCTTTGATATATGAGATTTTAATCCAATTAAATATCGCCATATCATATGTCTGTAAAATATTATGTAAATGATAATGTACATATAGCACAATCCAACTTTAAATTTTTATAAAAGTCTGAATACAACTTTAAGGGGTTAAAACCCCAAATGGTCATTGAACTTTGTCCGAAGTCTCCAAGGAGGTCATCGAACTTCAAAACCTCCCTAAATAGTCATTGAACTTTGTCCGAAGTCCTCCAAGAGATGATCGAACTTCAAAATGTCCCTAAATGATCACTAAATTTTGCAAAGAGTTCCTAGGAAATCACTGAAGTTTGCAAATTAGGATCCCATTCATCTTTGCAAAAGTTCAGTAATTTGCAAAGTTCAGTGACCCATAGGAACTTTTTGTAAAGTTCAGTGATTATTTAGGTACGTTTTGAAGTTCGGTGACCTCTTGGGGGACTTCGAGCTAAGTTCAGTGACTATTTAGGGGCGTTTTGAAATTCGACGACCTCCTTGTGGACTTTGGGCAAAGTTCAGTGACCATTTGTTTCTCCAACTTTTGGGTTTCACTACATGTAGATAATAATTTATATAATGATAAAAGGTGATTTGGTAAGAATTAATTGAATCAAAATCCTATAGATCAAATAACTGTTTCTGTAACATTTTGATACTTCTTCATCATATGAAACATTATTTAGCCCTCGTTTGGCCTCATTACATCTCATCAAATTAAATTAAAATTTTCTCCTTTTTATTTTTAATCATACAATTTTTAATAAAATAATATTATACGTTAATCGAAAACTTTTTATTCTTTTATAATTATCAATTTTTGAAAAAAAAAATAAAATTATTTTCCTATTATAATCAAATTTAATGGGGGCAAATGGGCGGTCAATAATCAACTACAAATAGCATTTTCCAACTTTTAAAATCCGAAAAGTCACTATATTGTCCCAAAGTTTTTGCAAACCAAAAACCCTCACTTCAACTGCAGGTTCAGTCTCGCTCACTCATCGCTCCCACGGTCGCGACAACAGCGACTCTCTCCGTTTCTAAATCTGAAAGTGAGAAAAAGAGCAGTTATTATATGGCAGATGACGTGGTGCAAGAAGGAGACGAAAAGCAGGAAATTCAGGCCAAGATAGCGGACGCTGTGCGTTCACGCCTCCAACAATTCAAAGACCAATCCGAGTACGTATACGGTTACGTGTCAGTATATGACATTTGTGAACTACCTTCATGTAAATACGTAATGTTTATGAATATATTATCTGATTCATTACTTATTTGGGTGAATAAATGGCAGTTCATTGACGTTGGGAAGTGTGAGGAGATTATTAGAGAAGGACTTGGGGCTGGAAAAGAACTCTTTGGATGTGCACAAAAGATTCATTAGCCTGTACTTGGAAAAGGTAACTTATTAAGTTTTTCAAATTTTCGAAGAATTTGGCCTTTTATAAATGGTTAATAACAATTCTAAAAAAATATGCATGGATTGAATGAAAATGTTAACTTTTAGGTCGATGAATATTTTACCTTGTTTTATTTCTGAATTGTTGGAACTTCGGAAGATGTTTGGATTATTTTGGGAAGAAACTGATTCTTCTGAAGTGCCTTGTCTTTTCTTGTCTCAAAGAGCATCTTTACAAAAGACAAAGAAAGAATCTGTCGGCTAAACAATACCCACAACTAATACAATTACTCATGCCCTACAGCTGCTGTGTATAGAGGAACAAAAATAATCAAATTTAACAAATCCTATCATCCATTCTGCAGGTGTAATCTTAGCTAGATATGGCAGAAGATAGAAAGCGTAGGTGGTAATGAATGTGATACTTACATCAAAGTAATAAAGAACATGTAACACTAGTGTACAAGTTCGTGTTTTGTGTTTCTGAAACAGAATGGCATGACCACTGTAACCTTCAATTCAAAGAAGAAATTTGCCTTATCCCCCCTGCTGAAGTTCAATTCCTTGCACTGTAGATCTCTCTCCTTTACCTTCTGATCAATAGTTCTAACAACCTTTATTAGTTTATTTCCAGCTAAACTCTACAATCATTGACATTCAAACTGAGACATATCCATCAGTCTGTGTATAGTTTTGATTTCTATAGAAGAAGTGTCTTTTATTGACATTTGTACTTGAACTTTTAAATGGATGAAAGGAACATACTTCCGTAGCAAGGATAATTTGTATTAGCTTCATAACCTTGTACAGCACATTTTGATATTTTACCTCGCAAGAAGTGCTTTATGACAAAATGGGGGAATGGCTGAATAGACCATATATTTGTTGATGTAAAAAGTCTCTGTCTTAAATTTGAGAAATCATCCCTGCATGGCCGCCATTCTTGCCCCCCCCCCCCCCCCCCCCCCCCCCCCCCCTCTACACGCACTCTTTTTTTAAGCCACCATCCTCACCACATTTCACAACTGTGGAGGCTGCTTCTGATTCCACCCGCCCTCTAAAACTCGCTGCCAGAGCTGAAAGCCTCCAATGAAATGAATATTTTGATTTTTGAAGATATGAATGGACTTTTTTTGGCTGCTTTCTTGATCCTAATTCTAACATTACTGGTTTGCCCCGTGGAAGTTCACCGGTTTTTTACCCTGGATTTAGCCATGCGGCTTTTGTTATATAACAGGACGGTTCCTGGTTTTCGGGTTGACCCAGCAGGCCCGTCCGGGTGTTAAAAACGTTAATATTTACATGGCGACGGATAGGATAGTAAAGAAGGGAAAGGAAGAACGGAAGCCCCTAGCCTTGAAACATGTCTTGGTTTCCATCCAGTTCAATATTTTCCACTGCCAAAACAATTTTCATGTCCACTGCACTTCATCACATCCAAATACCAAACTTATTAAATTTTACGGCTTTAATTGCAGAATACTTGTGATCTATTTGCATCTGTATTTGTTGTTTTTATTTTTATATTAAAAGGGTTTACACCAATTTCAATGCTCTGTTTTAATTGTCAGCAAATGCAAGATGCTGATGATGACAACTCCAAAAGGACGGTGGAGAATGTGGAGAAAGATGCCCATTTAAATGAGAAAGAAGTGAGAGAATTTCCTAAAGTGCAAAAAACAAAGAAAGATCCAAAGGCTAGCAATGGAGATGATTCAGATGAAGGAACACTCAAAGACTTTCCTGTAATGGGCCTCTTAGACAGCAAATCTGAAGTGGACAATCAAGGCTCTGTAATTAGCGAAAGTAGGATTAAGAAGGCCATTTGGGATAGAGCCGATCATTTCAAGTCTAATTCTGAGTATCTTCTTTTTCTGAACTCATATTGTTATTAAATGCAACCCCTCTCTTCTACTCCCACTCCCATCCTTTTGACTTTACTCTACTAGTCACTATAGTGGTCCGACTGAAAAATGAGCCCTTGAGTAAAATGAAAGGGAGAAGTTGGGACCAAATCCTATTAGCACAATAATGCTAAAAAGGAGGGAAGCTTCAGCCAGATGCTGTTGTTTACAATTTTGTCAACAATTTGATAGGCTCTGTCAATGCATGTACTGTTTCTGTTTTTCCTTATTTGTCAATTAAAAATCAATGCTCTCACTAGTGTACTTTTCAGGAAGATAACTTTGGCTGGAGTTCGCAGACTGTTGGAGGAAGATCTTGGACTTGATAAAAATACTCTCGATCCTTTTAAGAAGTTAATAAGTGAGCAAATAGATCAGGTGGGAAAAATATTCTGAAAATATTTGAACTTGTGGATGAATGAATTTAATTACCATACTCATCAAGTTACGGTGTTGTCTAGGTGCTAAATTTAAACAGTGTTTCTAAAAATGCTAATCACATTAAGAGGAAAAGCTCTGAGAACTCTCAAAGTAAAGCATCAAAAAAGATCAGCAGTGAGACAGGTTCTGATTCTTCAGATAAGGAAAGTGACAAAGGAAAAGACATAGTACAATCAAGGAAGAAGGCTGCTACAAGGGCAAAGGATGAGAAATCGGATGAGCTGAAGAAACGTAAAAGGTCTAACAAATACAGTGATCTCAATGTCCCTGGCAAGAACCAAAGCACGCGTGCAAAGAGGCCGAAAGAAGAAGATATTGATTCAGCTAATGATGGAGGTGTATCTGAAGATGGTCAATCTGAATCATCTGTAGGGAAACCTGCGAAGGTTAGTCTTTCATTTTTCTATGGCTGGATTTTTTTTCCAATGTGCGGGCTCATGCATGATCCACAGAGTCTTAAATAATTGATTTTCATATGCAGAGGAAAGAACAACCGACCCCTGGATATGGAAAACAAGTCGACCATCTGAGATCTGTAATTAAATCATGTGGAATGAGGTTGGTGTGTGTGGATGGTAGTGTTTAAGTCATCATTATCAACCTGTTATGATGGTATCTCATTTTCTCAATTGAAAACGAACAGCGTCGCTCCTACAGTTTACAAGAAAGCCAAGCAAGTACCTGACAGCAAACGAGAAGCCTTTTTAGTGAAGGAGTTGGAAGGGATTCTCAAAAGAGAAGGGCTATCTAGCAATCCTACTGAGAAAGGTAACTGTAAGATTCCGATATTACACTTATTTATGGATAACATGTCATAAAATATATTGTTGATACTCCTGGTAACCTGCTTTCTTATTCCCTCTTACACCTGATAACTCCCTTACCCAACTCGGTACTTCCCATGACCCTTGGATCTAACACCGATGTGGCACTAGTATTGCTTGGTGCTTGCAATGCTTCAATGTTCATGTGAAGGTCAATGATTACAGACTCATTAAGTACTCTGTAGGCCAATGATGAAATCCATTCAAGCATGTATTAAATAGAGATCTGTAAATAGCTTCACTTAACTTAAAACCACATCTATATGCTCATATCTCCAAGAACCATCACCGGCTGGATGGTTGAAAGGAGGGGGTTGGCTGGGGCTTGGATATATATATATATATATATATTTTCCTTCTATTTTTAATTTTTTTTCTATATGTTAAGTGCTCATTTGAGAGTGCTTAAGTCAAAACTTAAGCTGCGGATCTCATAGAATGTGTAAGTAAAAAATGAATAGCAAGTTGTGGGTCCATAGAACGTGTGGCTAAATAGTGTTTTGACGTCCTTAATTTATAATTTAAGTTTTGCCAAACATACAAAACATACATTTTTAGAGGATTTAACATTTGCCTTAAAATGGAAAAGAAAAACAAATGAAGGACATGGATGGTAGCTAAATACTAGTTTGGGAACTCTGTTGGCCAAAAGTAGTGGAATCGGCACCCAAGTGCTGGTTGACCCAAAGAAAGGGCGGTCCTTTCTCTCATTTTCCTTGTGCTGGTTCCTGTCAGCTCTATCTGGCATCAGTCGGTGTGTGCATGTGTCACTTCGACTCTTGGTGGTTGGGGACAAGATGGTGGAAAGCAATGGAGGGAGGGAAGGGGTAGCAGATCTGAGCTCTCCTATCCTGGCATTTGTGCTTGACTATGTTGTTTGAGAGCCGGTATCTGTCAGTACTCATTTGGATCCAGACTTGGAACCTATGTGGACTGTACTCTTCTTCTGTTACATATGCCAGACACAACTATAGAGTACTGTGCTTGTCTTTGCCTAGACCACCTTCTAGTCTCCAGTAGTACATTATTTTAGTTGCAAAAATTGTCACTGTGCACTTGTAGAGAAATTGGCTTTTGAATGGAAAACCAAAATTGTGCTTGAAAATTGAAAATAATTTTGGTTGGTTAAGACACTATTCGAGGCATTGATAAACGGTGAAACGGAATCCATTCTACTGTTTGGATTCTGCATATATTGCATGCTCTCACAATAAAATGTTCTCCATGCATCCCACTATTCACACCTCCCAACCTCACGCCGACCCCCGACCAAGATTTGCCACCACCATGCACAGACATCCCCCTATATATCTGACTCTTAATTATTTGAATCCATTTCTCAGAAATTAAAGACTGTAGAAAGAGAAAAGAAAGAGCAAAAGAACTTGAAGGCATTGACATGAGCAACATCATTTCAAGTTCACGCAGAAGGTCAACAAGCAATTTTATGGCTCCTAAATCTAGAGTAGAAACTAAAGGTGATAAGGATGATGTCAAAGCTAGTAAACACAAGGATAACAAGGACAAAGATTGCAATGGCAGTGATGAACAGGATGAAACTAAAGTTGATAAGGATGATGTCAAAGCTAGTGAACACAAGGATAACAAGTACAAAGATGGCATTGATGGTGATGAAGAGGAAGATAAAGTAGAAGAAGAAGATGATGAAAAGGTAGAAGAAGAAGGACATGAAGAAGAAGAAGAAGAAGAAGAAGAAGAAGAAGATGGTGATGGTGATGGTGATGATGATGATGATAGTAGTGAAGAAGTCAACGAAGGTATACATCTTTTGAGGTTCTTCATGCCAACTCTCTTTCCCCTCTTACGAGTTTTTAGATGGTATATACATGTAAAATGAAATATTGTCATGAGGATTGTGGTGCTGGGTAGTTGCCAGCCTGCTTTTTAATTGTGTTTGTAACATTGATTCAACTCCAACCCTCTAAATTGCTGCATACAAGTTTATGTAGAAATGTTATGCTTAATGCCAAGATAAAAAATATTCTGTTGTAATTGGAAAGTTGAGAAATGTCACTAAATCAAGTTAGATTAGCAAGACTTGGCAAAACTGTCTATACATTATGACATTTCAAAATTGTCGCACTTCAAATGAGAAGAAAATAGAGTACAACCTTAACATAAATGGCCTTATAGAAGAGTAAATGGGCACATTCTAACCTGAACTACTTTGTTTATGCCTGTGATGAATCTTGTTTGAACATAAATAGGAGTGCTTGCAGTTTAACAATATTTTTGCTTTTACATGCAGACGAAAGCGAGTAAGCTCTGCATCACAGTCTTGGAAGGTATATGTAATGAATTGTAGAAGTGCCGATATCTCGTATTGCATTAGTCATTTTCTGCACTTGAATTGTATTATCATTATTATTATTTGGTGGGGCAGTATTTTTGGTAGACAGCATACACTATTAAGAAAGTAGTGTGAGTTGGTTATATGGAATTATTTATAATGTCATGATCTTTTTGCTGTGTGAAATTGCTGGTTTAATGCGGTGAATAGATTATGATGCTAAGGCATTAGCTCTTAGAGATCAATTGGAAAAAGGAAAAAGGGTCAGATATACAAGGCATATTCTGTAGTAATTATGAGAATTGATTTTTTAATCGTTAGAGAGAAAAGTGAATCCTACATGTGAGTGAAAAGGTCAAAAATAATGGTTGATCATGTTAAGTAACGGTTAAAAAATTAATTTTGTGTAATAAAAAATCAGAACCTAATGGGGGCATATAAGACAAATGACAACTCCATTTATTTTATTTTTTCTAGTTGAAGGGGGGCCACAACAGACTGAGAAAAATGGAGGTGGGGCCAGCACTCAGGAAGAGTGTGTGGCTACCAAAGCTGCTTATACGCAAATTCTGTGCTGCATTTGTCAACAAGAACTATTTCCCCGTGAAGCACCTTCATGTCATATTCATAAATATTAATAAAGTGTATTTTCTTAAATAAACAGTTTAGTCAACCTTTTATTATAAAATATTGTACGATTAATTAATATAGAAAAAAAAAATCATGAAGTTGGATGCGAAACATTTTAAGTAAAATTTAGACTTTAATTGGAATTAAAGTTAACAATTGATTTAATAACATATTTTATGTGATTCATAATTTTTTAATCATAAATTTCATTAATTTTAATGAAAAATTACTAAAAATTTGATTTTAATTCCTATCAAAAGAATATTAAATTGATTATATTATTGGAAATTAATTTTTTAAATATAATGAAATGTTGAAGATTCCTATTTGACGATCATTATTTTAAAAATTTTTATATTGCATAATCATTTTTAATTACACATTTACAAAATAAAATATTTTGCACATAAATTCAAATTTTTTAATCATATTCTTCAAAAATTCATTATTCAAAACTTTATTTTTATCAATAATGACCATAGAGAGGGCTAACTATAATAGGTTTTTCAATTATATCAATATTCAATGGACTCTCTAATCATTTCAATTTCCAAATTAAGCAATTTAATAAATTTGTAATCAAGTACAAATGAGCATTGCTTGCTGTACAGAATACTCACAATGCATGGGTGGAGGGTGGATGATTATTTCAATTTAATAAATTTGCAATCAAGTACAAATGAGAACTACTTGTTGTACAGAATACTCACAATGTATGGGTGGGGGTGGGTGATTATTTATTTTGGTGGGGGCCCAAAAAATAATCACCCACCCCCACCCCCACGTCCACCCCACTTTCTCAAGTATGTGAGGATTCTGTACATCAGACAAAACTCAGTACAAATTCCTAAACTTCATTTCAAGTTGAACTCTAAGTACTAGTCAAATTTCCTTGAATTTATTCAAATGTATGCTCAATAATACTAGAAATTGGTTCGATCATTAAGATAAGATAAAACCCTATTTGGTGACGATTAAAATCAAAATTTTAATGAATTTTGATAAAAATTGATGAAATATGTAGTTAAATAATTGTGGGATTCATAAAATATGTAATTAAAATGAATTATTGATTTTAACTTAAATTTTAATATGCGAGCTTCTAGATTCGTACAAAATGTGAAACAATATCAAGGTTGGGGTTCTATTATAGCCGCCATATGTGCAAAGTACTCTATTTTATTAAAAAAAAAATTCTACATCAATTTTTAGCATTGGACCGACTCTCGACAAGTTTAACTTTGTTAAGAAAAAGTAGTCGTTGTCGAATCCAATATCCACTTACATCTAAAATAATTGGATGGACATTCAATTCTATAGGGTGGATGTTTGGTTGGTTTACATTCACTCTCTTTTTTCATTTTCTCGCTGTTTTTCATTATTTCTGTGGAGACGAGAGGAGAGTACAGTCGAGAGCCATAACGTTTAGCTAAGAATAGCTTCTTTTTCTCCCAGTTTGACGACCCATCCGGAATTAGTGCCTTCACCGGAGTAGAATATAGTTTGACGGACCTGTCATGGATGGATTCACGGAAGTTAAGACACGTGGATGGTAAAAATTCCCATGTCACGTGTGTCTGTCACCGCCGTCGCCGCTTCTTCTTCCGCCAACTCTCCCTCCTCCTCCTCTTTGCCACCTTCCGTCCACCACCAAGGTTATCGAAAACTCAGATTTGTTGTAATTGATTTTCGCACAAATACACTTTTCACATGATCCTGTTTCATTTTGCAATGGCGTAGATTAACATTGTTGAAGACCAGATTAAAATCAATATCTTGTGCACGTATCCTTGATCAGAAAATAATCACGAAGACAAGATTTAAATAAATGGTCCCTAAAAGCTTACTCATAGTCATAGATCACATGCAGATAATATTTGTTGTCGCCTCTCAATTTCTTTTCTTTTGGTGGTGCAAATTGCTGTTTATTTTTTGACCTTTTCAATTTCTTTATTTGGTTTCTAATTTTAAGCTCCAATTGAACGCACCCAACATCTGAAGAAATTTATCACATTTCTCCCTTTTTTTGCCGTCTTTTTCTTTTTTCCGGCAATTAATCCTTTTTAGAATCTTAAATGTTTTTCTCTAAACTGTTTGTTATAAAGATTCAATTTTTCTATAATCATGTTAAAAATTTATTCATTATCTATGTGGCAATTTATATATATATTTTTAGGTCATTGCAAGAGTAAGTGAATTTCCCAAAACGAAAAAGAAAAGGAAACGAAGAAGCTGAAAATCCATATTCGTTAGGAACGTATGGTATTTTTCTTTCTTTGTAAAATGAAAAGGAGAAGTTGGGACCAAATCCTATTAGCACAATAATGCTAAAAAGGAGGGAAGCTTCAGCCAGATGCTGTTGTTTACAATTTTGTCAACAATTTGATAGGCTCTGTCAATGCATGTACTGTTTCTGTTTTTCCTTATTTGTCAATTAAAAATCAATGCTCTCACTAGTGTACTTTTCAGGAAGATAACTTTGGCTGGAGTTCGCAGACTGTTGGAGGAAGATCTTGGACTTGATAAAAATACTCTCGATCCTTTTAAGAAGTTAATAAGTGAGCAAATAGATCAGGTGGGAAAAATATTCTGAAAATATTTGAACTTGTGGATGAATGAATTTAATTACCATACTCATCAAGTTACGGTGTTGTCTAGGTGCTAAATTTAAACAGTGTTTCTAAAAATGCTAATCACATTAAGAGGAAAAGCTCTGAGAACTCTCAAAGTAAAGCATCAAAAAAGATCAGCAGTGAGACAGGTTCTGATTCTTCAGATAAGGAAAGTGACAAAGGAAAAGACATAGTACAATCAAGGAAGAAGGCTGCTACAAGGGCAAAGGATGAGAAATCGGATGAGCTGAAGAAACGTAAAAGGTCTAACAAATACAGTGATCTCAATGTCCCTGGCAAGAACCAAAGCACGCGTGCAAAGAGGCCGAAAGAAGAAGATATTGATTCAGCTAATGATGGAGGTGTATCTGAAGATGGTCAATCTGAATCATCTGTAGGGAAACCTGCGAAGGTTAGTCTTTCATTTTTCTATGGCTGGATTTTTTTTCCAATGTGCGGGCTCATGCATGATCCACAGAGTCTTAAATAATTGATTTTCATATGCAGAGGAAAGAACAACCGACCCCTGGATATGGAAAACAAGTCGACCATCTGAGATCTGTAATTAAATCATGTGGAATGAGGTTGGTGTGTGTGGATGGTAGTGTTTAAGTCATCATTATCAACCTGTTATGATGGTATCTCATTTTCTCAATTGAAAACGAACAGCGTCGCTCCTACAGTTTACAAGAAAGCCAAGCAAGTACCTGACAGCAAACGAGAAGCCTTTTTAGTGAAGGAGTTGGAAGGGATTCTCAAAAGAGAAGGGCTATCTAGCAATCCTACTGAGAAAGGTAACTGTAAGATTCCGATATTACACTTATTTATGGATAACATGTCATAAAATATATTGTTGATACTCCTGGTAACCTGCTTTCTTATTCCCTCTTACACCTGATAACTCCCTTACCCAACTCGGTACTTCCCATGACCCTTGGATCTAACACCGATGTGGCACTAGTATTGCTTGGTGCTTGCAATGCTTCAATGTTCATGTGAAGGTCAATGATTACAGACTCATTAAGTACTCTGTAGGCCAATGATGAAATCCATTCAAGCATGTATTAAATAGAGATCTGTAAATAGCTTCACTTAACTTAAAACCACATCTATATGCTCATATCTCCAAGAACCATCACCGGCTGGATGGTTGAAAGGAGGGGGTTGGCTGGGGCTTGGATATATATATATATATATATTTTCCTTCTATTTTTAATTTTTTTTCTATATGTTAAGTGCTCATTTGAGAGTGCTTAAGTCAAAACTTAAGCTGCGGATCTCATAGAATGTGTAAGTAAAAAATGAATAGCAAGTTGTGGGTCCATAGAACGTGTGGCTAAATAGTGTTTTGACGTCCTTAATTTATAATTTAAGTTTTGCCAAACATACAAAACATACATTTTTAGAGGATTTAACATTTGCCTTAAAATGGAAAAGAAAAACAAATGAAGGACATGGATGGTAGCTAAATACTAGTTTGGGAACTCTGTTGGCCAAAAGTAGTGGAATCGGCACCCAAGTGCTGGTTGACCCAAAGAAAGGGCGGTCCTTTCTCTCATTTTCCTTGTGCTGGTTCCTGTCAGCTCTATCTGGCATCAGTCGGTGTGTGCATGTGTCACTTCGACTCTTGGTGGTTGGGGACAAGATGGTGGAAAGCAATGGAGGGAGGGAAGGGGTAGCAGATCTGAGCTCTCCTATCCTGGCATTTGTGCTTGACTATGTTGTTTGAGAGCCGGTATCTGTCAGTACTCATTTGGATCCAGACTTGGAACCTATGTGGACTGTACTCTTCTTCTGTTACATATGCCAGACACAACTATAGAGTACTGTGCTTGTCTTTGCCTAGACCACCTTCTAGTCTCCAGTAGTACATTATTTTAGTTGCAAAAATTGTCACTGTGCACTTGTAGAGAAATTGGCTTTTGAATGGAAAACCAAAATTGTGCTTGAAAATTGAAAATAATTTTGGTTGGTTAAGACACTATTCGAGGCATTGATAAACGGTGAAACAGAATCCATTCTACTGTTTGGATTCTGCATATATTGCATGCTCTCACAATAAAATGTTCTCCATGCATCCCACTATTCACACCTCCCAACCTCACGCCGACCCCCGACCAAGATTTGCCACCACCATGCACAGACATCCCCCTATATATCTGACTCTTAATTATTTGAATCCATTTCTCAGAAATTAAAGACTGTAGAAAGAGAAAAGAAAGAGCAAAAGAACTTGAAGGCATTGACATGAGCAACATCATTTCAAGTTCACGCAGAAGGTCAACAAGCAATTTTATGGCTCCTAAATCTAGAGTAGAAACTAAAGGTGATAAGGATGATGTCAAAGCTAGTGAACACAAGGATAACAAGTACAAAGATGGCATTGATGGTGATGAAGAGGAAGATAAAGTAGAAGAAGAAGATGATGAAAAGGTTGAAGAAGAAGGACATGAAGAAGAAGAAGAAGAAGAAGAAGAAGAAGAAGAAGAAGAAGAAGAAGAAGAAGAAGAAGAAGAAGAAGAAGAAGAAGAAGAAGAAGAAGAAGAAGAAGAAGAAGAAGAAGAAGAAGAAGAAGAAGAAGAAGAAGAAGAAGAAGAAGAAGAAGAAGAAGAAGAAGAAGAAGAAGAAGAAGAAGAAGAAGAAGAAGAAGAAGAAGAAGAAGAAGAAGAAGAAGAAGAAGAAGAAGAAGAAGAAGAAGAAGAAGAAGAAGAAGAAGAAGATGGTGATGGTGATGGTGATGGTGATGATGATGATGATAGTAGTGAAGAAGTCAACGAAGGTATACATCTTTTGAGGTTCTTCATGCCAACTCTCTTTCCCCTCTTACGAGTTTTTAGATGGTATATACATGTAAAATGAAATATTGTCATGAGGATTGTGGTGCTGGGTAGTTGCCAGCCTGCTTTTTAATTGTGTTTGTAACATTGATTCAACTCCAACCCTCTAAATTGCTGCATACAAGTTTATGTAGAAATGTTATGCTTAATGCCAAGATAAAAAATATTCTGTTGTAATTGGAAAGTTGAGAAATGTCACTAAATCAAGTTAGATTAGCAAGACTTGGCAAAACTGTCTATACATTATGACATTTCAAAATTGTCGCACTTCAAATGAGAAGAAAATAGAGTACAACCTTAACATAAATGGCCTTATAGAAGAGTAAATGGGCACATTCTAACCTGAACTACTTTGTTTATGCCTGTGATGAATCTTGTTTGAACATAAATAGGAGTGCTTGCAGTTTAACAATATTTTTGCTTTTACATGCAGACGAAAGCGAGTAAGCTCTGCATCACAGTCTTGGAAGGTATATGTAATGAATTGTAGAAGTGCCGATATCTCGTATTGCATTAGTCATTTTCTGCACTTGAATTGTATTATCATTATTATTATTTGGTTGGGTAGTATTTTTGGTAGACAGCATACCGTATTAAGAAAGTAGTGTGAGTTGGTTATATGGAATTATTTATAATGTTATGATCTTTTTGCTGTGTGAAATTGCTGGTTTAATGCGGTGAATAGATTATGATGCTTAGGCATTAGCTCTTAGAGAACAATTAGAAAAAGGAAAAAGGGCCAGATATACTATGCATGTTCTGTAGTAATTATGAGAATTAATTTTTTAATCGTTAGAGAGAAAAGTAGATCCTATATGTGAGTGAAGAAGTCAAAAATAATGATTGACCATACTAAGTAACGGTCAAAAAATTAATTTTGTGGGATAAAAAATTAGAACCTAATGGGACCATATAAGACAAATGACAACTTCATATATTTTATTTTTTCTAGTTGAAGGGGGGCCGCAACAGACTGAGAAAAATGGAGATGGGGCCAGCACTCAGGAAGAGTGTGTGGCTACCAAAGCTGCTTATACGCAAATTCTGTGCTGCATTTGTCAACACGAACTATTTCCCCGTGAAGCACCTTCATGTCATATTCATAAATATTAATAAAGTGTATTTCCTTAAATTAACAGTTTAGTCAACCTTTTATTATAAAATATTGTACGATTAATTAATATAGAAAAAAAAATCATGAAGTTGGATGCGAAACATTTTAAGTAAAATTTAGACTTTAATTGGAATCAAAGTTAACAATTAATTTAATAACATATTTTATGTGATTCATAATTTTTTAATCATAAATTTCATTAACTTTAATAAAAAATTACTAAAAATTTGATTTTTATTTCTATCAAAAGAATATTAAATTGATTATATTATTGGAAATTATTTTTTTAAATATAATGAAATGCTAAAGATTCCTATTTGACGATCATTATTCTAAAAAATTTTATACTACATAATTATTTTTAATTATACATTTGCAAAATAAAATATTTTGCACATAAATTCAAATTTTTTAATCACATTCTTCAAAAATTTATTATTCAAAACTTTATTTTTATCAATAATGACCATAGAGAGGGCTAACTATAATAGGTTTTTCAATTATATCAATATTCAATGGACTCTCTAATCATTTCAATTTCCAAATTAAGCAATTTAATAAATTTGTAATCAAGTACAAATGAGCATTGCTTGCTGTACAGAATACTCACAATGCATGGGTGGAGGGTGGATGATTATTTCAATTTAATAAATTTGCAATCAAGTACAAATGAGAACTACTTGTTGTACAGAATACTCACAATGTATGGGTGGGGGTGGGTGATTATTTATTTTGGTGGGGGCCCAAAAAATAATCACCCACCCCCACCCCCACGTCCACCCCACTTTCTCAAGTATGTGAGGATTCTGTACATCAGACAAAACTCAGTACAAATTCCTAAACTTCATTTCAAGTTGAACTCTAAGTACTAGTCAAATTTCCTTGAATTTATTCAAATGTATGCTCAATAATACTAGAAATTGGTTCGATCATTAAGATAAGATAAAACCCTATTTGGTGACGATTAAAATCAAAATTTTAATGAATTTTGATAAAAATTGATGAAATATGTAGTTAAATAATTGTGGGATTCATAAAATATGTAATTAAAATGAATTATTGATTTTAACTTAAATTTTAATATGCGAGCTTCTAGATTCGTACAAAATGTGAAACAATATCAAGGTTGGGGTTCTATTATAGCCGCCATATGTGCAAAGTACTCTATTTTATTAAAAAAAAAATTCTACATCAATTTTTAGCATTGGACCGACTCTCGACAAGTTTAACTTTGTTAAGAAAAAGTAGTCGTTGTCGAATCCAATATCCACTTACATCTAAAATAATTGGATGGACATTCAATTCTGTAGGGTGGATGTTTGGTTGGTTTACATTCACTCTCTTTTTTCATTTTCTCGCTGTTTTTCATTATTTCTGTGGAGAGGAGAGGAGAGTACAGTCGAGAGCCATAACGTTTAGCTAAGAATAGCTTCTTTTTCTCCCAGTTTGACGACCCATCCGGAATTAGTGCCTTCACCGGAGTAGAATATAGTTTGACGGACCTGTCATGGATGGATTCACGGAAGTTAAGACACGTGGATGGTAAAAATTCCCATGTCACGTGTGTCTGTCACCGCCGTCGCCGCTTCTTCTTCCGCCAACTCTCCCTCCTCCTCCTCTTTGCCACCTTCCGTCCACCACCAAGGTTATCGAAAACTCAGATTTGTTGTAATTGATTTTCGCACAAATACACTTTTCACATGATCCTGTTTCATTTTGCAATGGCGTAGATTAACATTGTTGAAGACCAGATTAAAATCAATATCTTGTGCACGTATCCTTGATCAGAAAATAATCACGAAGACAAGATTTAAATAAATGGTCCCTAAAAGCTTACTCATAGTCATAGATCACATGCAGATAATATTTGTTGTCGCCTCTCAATTTCTTTTCTTTTGGTGGTGCAAATTGCTGTTTATTTTTTGACCTTTTCAATTTCTTTATTTGGTTTCTAATTTTAAGCTCCAATTGAACGCACCCAACATCTGAAGAAATTTATCACATTTCTCCCTTTTTTTGCCGTCTTTTTCTTTTTTCCGGCAATTAATCCTTTTTAGAATCTTAAATGTTTTTCTCTAAACTGTTTGTTATAAAGATTCAATTTTTCTATAATCATGTTAAAAATTTATTCATTATCTATGTGGCAATTTATATATATATTTTTAGGTCATTGCAAGAGTAAGTGAATTTCCCAAAACGAAAAAGAAAAGGAAACGAAGAAGCTGAAAATCCATATTCGTTAGGAACGTATGGTATTTTTCTTTCTTTCTTTCTCTCTTTTTTCTTCCTTCCTTGTCACTTAAAGAGGTCATATTTGGAAATTGGAAAAATGGATACATGATTTTTGTTAAGAGTTGTCAGTATATGGGCATGTTTGTTAGGAAGTACTGGAAAGGAAGAAGAATAAGTTGAAATATTGTTCGTTATAGAGCATAGTCTCAATCCGTATTGCATAACAAAAACGCACTTGCAGCGTATTTACACTTGTCATTAAATTATGCTGGAATTTTGAACTGATGACCGGCCAATATCATTCAGATGCTTTATGGCAAATGAACTGGAGATCGAGAGAACCAACGGAGCCTGGACCTTATCCTGTGCGTGAAGGTGAACCGGATTGCTCGTACTACATTCGAACAGGCCTATGCAGATTCGGAAGTACTTGCCGATTTAATCACCCTCCTAATAGGAAACTGGTAAGCAATATAATTTTTTTTTAGAAGGACCGAAAATTTCAAGTGCTACTTGGAATGAAAGCAAAGTTAGAGCGCATGATGTTATTACCTATGAGATTTTGCATCTTGTTACTTTAAGTTTTTGGGAACACTATGTGGGACTTTTGCCATGGGATTCGAAATGATTACCTGTAAATTTTAATTGGTTTTTCTTGATTTCTAATTTGAAGGCTTAGTTTTTATGATGCCAATGGCAGAATTTGTTCCTGGTTGTACACAATTTACTTTTAGAAATGAACACTAATTGCTTTCAAAATGTTGATCATTTTGCTATTTTCCATCCAATTCAGTAATATAGTTGTAAGGCTTAGGTTTATTGATGACAATCTTGTAAAACAAGGCTTAATGAAGTACACTTCACAGTAGATTTTTGAAACTTAAAACAAATTAAAGGGAATATAAGATGTCAGGTGGGCTATAAATGGGTTAGGTTGACAAATGAAAAATTTGCAATGTCGTTTTTCAACAATGATGAATATAGGCTGTAAATTTAGAATTGTTTCTCTTTTAGGGACCCCTGTTTACATATACGTTGCCTAAACGCACACTTAATTGACTTCTTCGCATGGCATGATCTTTTCCAATTAGCATGTCTTGAAGTGATATTAATTTAGAAGAATCTAAATTCTTATATCAGAAATGTGTAAATTCATGAGTACTAGCACACTCTTTTGGCATTTAAATATTCTCTATAGATCTGTACACTCTTGGATTTTGTAAAACTTATACATTCCCGATCATAGGCTATAGCCACGGCAAGGATGAAAGGAGAGTACCCAGAAAGAATAGGACAACCAGAATGTCAGGTATTGCACGTTTACACTTGCCTTATGTCTTGCTGTTATATAAATCACGTCATCATTTTTTGAGGCATAAAACAATGGAATATACTTATAATGCTGTCAACACACGTTTCCATTAATTTGTATCTCGTTAAAATTCTTGTTGAAGGAGTTTTACTGCACTTAAGAAAGGAAGTGAAGATAAGAGTTTGTTTGCAGAACAAGTGGGTGTAATACGGTCCTAATCAAGAAATATTGCATAGAATTCTTTTCCAAGCACGAACAACTAAATATTCAAATGAGTTCCAAAATTCAGAATTACCTGTTATCCGATTAAAAACCAGATAGTTCAAATAGCACACCAGAATCCTTTAACCATAAGTTACAAATGCTTTTGGACAAGCATTTTCCATGAGATGTGGTGCGAATCCTACTAATGTATTCAAATTAACTTCTCAACCCCAGGGTCAAAATCATGTGAAATTTTGTGAAAAGATATTCCTTCATGAAAAACTGAATATATTTCCTTTAGTTACAATTTCATGATTGTTGTTTTTAGCTATCCTTAAGAGAAAGAGGAAAACTTGTTGTGATTGTAGTCACGTTTTGGGGTTTTTGAAGTATATGTTTTATTGATAGGTTAAAAGAATATATACAATACAAGAAATTACAACCATGGTCCCTAACAATAACAAATATTACAAGTAAGTACAATTATATTTCAACTCTCCCCCTCAAGTTGGTGCATAGATATCGCGCATGCCCAACTTGGATAACATTGTATGAAATGGACCGCTAGCAACTCCATGTGTCATTACATCGGCCAGTTGTTCTCCCCTCTTGATGTATGGAACCTCTATATTTTTGGAGTCGAGATTATCTTTGATGTAGTTCCTATCAAGTTCAACATACTTTGTTCTATCATGTTGCACAAGGTTATTTGTGATTTTAATAGCGGCAGTGTTATCACAAAAAAGTAACATAGGCTTGTCTGGACCAAAGCCAAGTTCACTCGGGAGAAGTTTTAGCCATGTGAGCTCGGTAGTTGCATGGTGCAATGCACGATATTCCGCCTCAGCACTGGATAATGAGACTACATTCTGTTTTTTACTCCTCCAAGTCACAAGATTACCCCCAACAAATGATTCATAACCTGATGTGGATTTTCTGTCCAATCTCGATCCAGCAAAATCAGAATCCGTATAGCCCATAATATCTAGATGCCCCTCTTTTGAGTACAGAATACCCTTGCCTGGAGAGGACTTTAGATATGCCAATATCCGATTAACTGCACTCATATGATGCTCACTGGGGTTATGCATGAATTGACTCACAACGCTAACTGCATATGACATATCCGGTCTCGTGTGGGTTAGATAAATCAACTTCCCCACCAACCTCTGATATCTCTCTTTGTTTGTGGGAATCTGGTCAGGATAGATAGACAGACCATGATTTACCTCAATGGGTGTGTCAACAGGGACACAAGCCGACATACCAGTTTCTCCTAGGAGGTCAAGGACATACTTGCGTTAGGATAGGATAAGTTCTTGCTGAGACTGTGATACCTCAATGCCCAAGAAATATTTCAAGGTACCTAAGTCCTTCATTTCAAACTCCTCTGTCAAATGGCTTCGGTGTTTCTCAATCTCACTAGGATTACTGCCCGTAACAATCATATCATCCACATACACAATAAGTATAGTAATATCATGACCATCTCTCTTATAAAATAGAGTATAATCAGCCAAGGCCTGTTTAAAACCATACCTTTTCATTGAACAACTCAATCTTCCAAACCACGCCCTTGGTGATTGTTTTAGCCCATACAAGGCTTTCTTCGACTTACACACATTACCCTCTGGAGGAGTAAAACCAGGAGGAGGATCCATATATACTTCCTCTGTCAGATCACCATGAAGGAATGCATTTTAAACATCAAATTGCCTCAATGGCCAATCAAGATTGACTGCTAGAGATAGGATGACTCTAAGAGTATTCATCTTAGCTACTGGGGCAAACGTTTCCTGGTAGTCAATTCCATACGTCTGTGTGTACCCTTTAGCAACCAATCTTGCCTTATACCTATCTACAGCTCCATCTGCCCTGAATTTTAATGAGTACACCCACTTGCGTCCCACAGTCCTTTTTCCTGGTGGTAGTAAGACCATTTCCCAAGTAGAGTTCTTTTGGTGAGCATTCATCTCTTCTACCATAGCAGATTTCCATTTAGGTTGATCAAGAGCTTCCTGAAAGTGATTAGGTATAGACACAGATGACAATTGAAGGGCAAATGTTAGGTTAGTCTTAGATAAACGGTGGTACGAGATATAATCATTTATGGGAAAGATAGCATTGGAAGAAGATTTCGAAAATCCAAACCTATCAGGCTTATTATGGACTCGAAGGGGATATCTCCTATCTCGAGTATCAACAGTATCTAAAGCTGCAGGATTAGAGTCAGAAATAGAGATAGGAGTAGAAGGGTAAAGCAAAGTAGGTACCTCATTTTCAATCTCCGAAGAATCAGATGGCACTGTAGTATCAACAGGAGGGTTATTCTGGTCTGAGGAGGATAATACTGGAGTACAAGCATTGTCGAAAGTTCTCCTTGTATAGCATTTTCGGAACAAGCGAGTTGATCTATCATCCTCAACTCTGGATTCATTTTTTGATTCTACTTGGGATTCCCCCTCCTTTCTAGAAATCCACACTTTCTTTTCATCTAACCACACTCGTTCCTCTTCCTTACTACTAATCTCCCCCTGAAGAGGAACTAACGACACGTCATCAGAAAAAAATGATTCTGACTCGCAAAATTCCACATCCATAGAAACATAGTATTTTCCTTCGATTGTCCTGAAATACACAATGAGTAGGTGAGAAGATGACAGAGCAATCAAGATGCTTTGTAATTTTACTAATAGATAAGAGATTAGTGGAAAACGTAGGAGCAAGTAAAACAGATGAGATTGAGAAAGTAGGTGAAAACGAGACATTCCGAGCCCCAGTAATTTTGACAGGAGTCCCATTAGCCACCTGAACAGACTGAACAGGCGAATTTGTTAACGAGTCAAATGTAGAGGGATTACAGGTAAAATGATCAGTAGCTCCAGAATCTATAACCCAAAAATCAGATACAGTAGAAGCAGATTGCACCCTTAGATTTTAACAAATATATCCAACAAACTCTGGTACAGTCATCAATGAAAGAGATAAAATATTTATGACCTGTAATAGATGGAGTAGAGAAAGGCCCCCAAACATCATTATGAACACAAGTAAAAGGAATATAACTTTTATTAAAACTGACTTTGAAAGGTACACGATGATTTTTAGCAAAAATATATTGTTCACACCGCATACTAGAACTAGAAATGTTTTTAAATAACTTTGGGAACAAGTGTTCTAAGTAAGGAAATGAAGGATGGCCTAATCGACAATGCCACAAAAGAATCCTATCTCTTGGAGAGGATTTACTAACAACTTGAAGACCATGGCTATCCTCAGTTTGCAAACACTTTGTTCCTTCCAAAAAATACAGCCCTCCTCTTTCTCTACCAGTGCCAATCGTCATCTTCGTTCGATTGTCCTGAAATACACAATGAGTAGGTGAGAAGATGACAGAGCAATCAAGATGCTTTGTAATTTTACTAATAGATAAGAGATTAGTGGAAAACGTAGGAGCAAGTAAAACAGATGAGATTGAGAAAGTAGGTGAAAACGAGACATTCCCAGCCCCAGTAATTTTGACAGGAGTCCCATTAGCCACCTGAACAGACTGAACAGGCGAATTTGTCAACGAGTCAAATGTAGAGGGATTACAGGTAAAATGATCAGTAGCTCCAGAATCTATAACCCAAAAATCAGATACAGTAGAAGCAGATTGCACCCCAGAAGTACCTTCTCCAGAAGATGAACGAGCAACATGGGAAACAGTAGTTGTAGGTGCATGAGATGAATGCGTAGCCTGAGATGATCTTCCACCCCTCTTCTCTGCCCTCTTTGCTAAATACCAGTCTGGATAGCCATTTTTTTTGAAACACTTGTCAGCAGTGTGTCCTTTTAGGTGACAGAATGAGCAAATTTCAGTAGACTGAATAGGAGCTCGTGATCGAGGATTGAACCCTTTTACAGCCAACGCAGACGCCTCAGAATGGCTTTCGCCCCCCATAGTGAGTTGTCGCTGTTCCTCACGACGAACAGTCGAGAACACCTCTTCCAAGCTTGGAAGGGGTGTAGTAGCCAAAATATGACTGCGCATTTGATCCAAACCATAATCAAGTCCCACCAAAAACATATAAATTCTGTCTTCAGCACACCTCTTCTTTAATGCATCAACATCGGTGGCGCACTTCATGGAATTAGGTCTGCGATGGTCAAGCTCCAAAAAAATGGAATTCATTTCAGTGTAGTATGTGACAAGAGGCCGCCCCTCTTGCCTCAGTTGAAAAGATTTTTTCATTAGTTCATAAACTTGAGATGAATCAGAGACATCAAGATAACTTCTCTTAACCGCATTCCACACATCTTTGGCTGTGTCAAACTGAACAAAATGGGCCACAAGAGCATCGGTCATAGAATTAATAAGCCAAGACTTAACGATGGCATCATCAGCCACCCATTCACCATAGGTACTATCATCTTCTTTTGGTAGAGTTAGTTCACAAAAAATGTGAGTTCTTTTTTTTCGGCTAGTAATGTGCATCTCTAGTAATTTTGACCACACACGGTAGTTAGTGCCATCTAATTTAATGTGAATTGGAGACGATGTTTCATGAACTAACGATGTAACCATTCTCTGGTCAGCCATTAATTCAAGTAGTTAATAAATAACGTAACAACCAATCACAGAGGAAATCAATAGCAAGGTCAAAAAAACCAACCACAGTGTTCCCAATTTCCTAATTTTTCTCCTTAGTTCTTTCTTCAGCTCTCTAGCATCATGAATGCAGAAGCTGTGAACCCAAAAACATTCCCATTGGCAGATGCCCAGTTGACTATTACGATCCTGGACTTGATTCAGTAGGCTGCCAACTACAAACAGCTCAAGGAAGGTGCTAATGAAGTGACTGAATGAATGCAGGTAGGCAGTGAGGGTCGTCTGAGCCGAAAAAGCACCGCCTAGGGTTCGGGTTTAGCAGTGCGGTGCTGCTGCCGACCGGAATTGCCGCTGCAGACGCAGCCTCTGCCGAAGAACGCACCTGCCTGAGTCGCGCAGCTCCCTGCCGGAGAGCGCCTAGGGTTCGGGCGCCGATTCGTGCCGCCGCTGCAGCCGGCCGGTGATGGGACCTTCAGAATCGACGGTAAATGCAAGACAAGAGTTCGGCTTTCCTCTGCTCTGATACCAAGTCGCGTTTTGGGGTTTTTGAAGTATATGTTTTATTGATAGGTTAAAAGAATATATACAATACAAGAAATTACAACCATGGTCCCTAACAATAACAAATATTACAAGTAAGTACAATTATATTTCAACTATTGTGAATGTCTTTACATTAGGTGTACCCTAAGAAATACAGTTTATAGGTATCAGTAGGATAATGAGTTAGTCAGACTTACAAATTTGATTCTTGTCTTTAGTGCACATTGTTGTTAACATGATTGAATTGCTTCTACCGGCGGAAGCCTTAAAAGTGAATGTGCTTCGTAATATTCGTGTTCAAATTATGTCATCAATATATCTCAGATAACTAATGATGAGATCAATGGGTAATGTTTTACCCGAGTGTGCCCATCTTCATCTGGACGTTACATTCTTAAGATTTTAGATTATTAAATATTACCTGGTCTACATCTTGATGCAGTCTCTTGGCATGTGAAACTCTGCTAGTTTGGCATTTTCCATATTGTTCTTTAAATTTTGTGGTCGTTAAAAACTATAGAAGATCAAACTTCATAAACGATAAAAAATATAGCTGGATGTACAAATATTATTATTATTATTTTTGATTATTTAAGATATCTGCATACCGAAGACATTGTGATAGGAAAAGTTCTGTATCTACATCTGTATTTTTTTATCCATAATGCTTTTTAGATTGTACGGCTTTTTGAACAGGAGTGTCTAGAAACTTTCTCATGTGATTAGTCTCTTTCTTTAATCAATGACATGGATTCTACCATTTATACACATACTTCTTGATTAAGATATTCAAACACAAACTGGCCAATTATTAAAGTTGGTAAATTCTTGCAACCTGATTATAGTTTAAAAGTTCTAGCTTTTACTTGGAGGAATAAACTCTCTCCTCTGTCCTGGAGTATATTAGTGTCCTGGTAGGATTTTTTGTGTGTATGTGGGCTAAGATGTAGCCATAACTATTACGGGGGATTTTGCAAGGATTTCGTATTTGAATTAAAGATCACATTTTTTCTTTGGGATCATGTGGTTTAATGACCTTCATGCATCACTAAAGAAAAACTGTTTACAGATCTAAGATAGGACCCACAATTTCAATGACCTTGTTTGTGCACCCAAAAAATCCAATATGCATGATTCTCTTTGATAAAAAAATTTCTAGGATGAATAGGTCTCTGCTAAAGGCTCACTATAGTTCCAAGAAAGCTGCCACATCTAGCACAGAGATTTTTTTTTTTTTTTTTTTTTTTGGATAGGTAATCAAATATTTTATTATCAAAAGAATAATGCACAGAAAATGTATTATCAATTTAAATAAGAAAAACAACATGAAATTGGGTAGCCTGTCTATATGACTTGTAGCCGTAGTATTAAAAAAAGTATACAATATCAAATAAAACAATCTTTTAATCTACTCTGTTGTCCGTGCTTGACCATCAAAACACCGACTATTTCTCTCTCCATACATACCATACAATACAACCCGGAATGAGGTTTCAAACAATCTTACTATCCTTATTGCGAAGCTTTCTTCTCCGTGTCTTTAACACATGTTCTGGCACAAAGATTTCATGCAAATTATAACTTTTACTATTTTCTCCTTCCTTCAAGTGTTTCTATTAGTATACTTTTACTTCAACGAAGGTGCTCATTCTTAGGATTATTCCACTTCTTTAACTAGAATCAGGGTATTATTTGGAGAGGCTGTATTTTCTCAGTTTGTTATGTGTTGGAGTCTCGTTTACTTCCATCAAAATTTTTAAATCTAGAGTTCCTTGGTCGTAATTAGTTGCTTGTTAATTCATTCAGTATAACATTTTGATATCTTTTGCAGTATTACTTGCAAACTGGAACCTGCAAGTTTGGATCGACATGCAAGTTTCATCATCCTAGAGACAAAGCTGGAATTGCTGGAAAAGTTGCCTTGAATGTTTTGGGTTATCCACTTCGCCTGGTTTGGGTTTCTTCATTTTTTGCTTAATTTTTTTCTTCGAGCTGAATGGCACATTTTGATCAATGATTTGCTTTTGTGCCTATCTTGCATATGCTTCCTTTCACTTCATAATTTTGCAAAAGATTTTAGAGCATGAAATCAGATAACACTGTATCTAAGTCCGTGCATATCAGAATGGTGATTCCCTTAAAATTATGAGATGTCCATCACTATTAATGCTGGGAAAGGTCACTAAGTTATTACTGAAATACTTGGAGAAAATTTGCTAGAGGTAAACAAATATAGTTGATCTTATGATCCTCAATGAGAAGCGGGCATGTATACATGCTACATAGGACCATGATAACACTATGAAGATACACCCAATGATGCTCGGACTCTTAAAAAATGACGAAGTACCCGTGTCGATACGACATGACATGGATACCGACACGAGATATGTGTTAGATTCTCGGTTTTGAACTTGGACATGGCTGGAAAAGGGAGAAAACAATGGACGGTGAAGTATTGCTTCTGGCTTGCATTTGTAGCGGCAACAACCATTTGTTTCGAGTCTTTATGAAGAAGTTAATGATATGAGGGAATTTCCGTGACTAGTTGGGCTGCCCTTCTGTAAGTGTATTTTTCCAATAAAAGAAGAAGAAGAAGAAAGAAATGAAAGAATTAAGTGGTTTAAAAGTCAACAATTCATACTGTCATAAATTAGGGGTTATCTCTAAAGGTTTTATTATTTATTGTAAATGGCATGATTTGTTGTTTGCTTTGATTGAATCATTTTTTAGGAAAAAATTATAAGACGTATCCCCATACCGGTATCCAAAATTCGGATCTTTTTTAACTGTATCTCCATATCTTAATTTTTAAAATGAGAAGAATCCGACTCCTAGATATGTACCTGTATCCGACACCCTCACCCGAGTCCGAGCATCGTAGGATACACTTGCTTCTTTCTAAATGTTTGAGCTATTCCCTCCATTTTTAGCTACTAGGCCTTATTGTTATCATTTGCCTAAGATTAGAAATAGTGTTTAGTTGTTAACCTGATAGTGTTTTCTTTACTGCTTTAGATCATGTAGGAATTTAAATCCTCAATCATCATCATTCTTTAACTGTTTTAAGTTACAAAATGTGGTATCTATTTAATTAGATTTTTTGCCTTTGTACAGAATGAGGTTGAATGTGCCTATTATTTGAGAACTGGACAATGCAAGTTTGGAAGCACTTGTAAATTCCACCATCCCCAGCCATCCAACGTAATGGTCTCTTTACGTGGTTCTGTCTATCCTCCTATCCATTCTCCAACGACTCCTGGTCAACTATCATTTCCCTTCTCAAGAGCTTCTTTTGTTCCGAGTCCAAGATGGCAAAGCCCTTCAAGTTATGCACCAGTGATTATGCCTCAGGGAGTGATCTCAGTTCCGGGATGGAACCCTTACAGTGTAATCTTTCCGTTGATTCCTTATTTTTGTATTGTTTCTTCCTTTTACATTAATTTGAAGGTACAGTAATTGGGACAGTTAAGTGAAATGAGCATATGTATTACAAAAATTAGTCAGAGTAGAATATGTTTATCAGGCAATAGTGAATATCAAGAATCAAAAAATCACGAAGTAAATGATTTATTTCTTTATGGAAATTAATACTAATTTTTACTTGTAAAATGTAAACTCAAAGTAAGATGAGGACTGAAACCAGGGTATTACTATCTATATACTCATGGCTTAATTTCTAAACCTAGAAGTTTTATTGAGGTATTGGGCTGACATCTTCTGCGCCTTCTGAAGTTATTTTTGCATTAGGAAGCATGCAGCACTGAGTGCTTCCCATTGAGAGATTGTACTCTTAATTTGGCAGAATAATTAAGGGCTTGTTTGATTCCGATTTTTCCCAAAATATATTTTTCTCTATTTTCTTTTCAATCATACATTCTTCAATAAAATAATATTACACACAAATCAAAAATTTCTCGTTATTTTTTAACCACACATTCTCCATCAATCTACTATTCCAAAATACATTTTTTCAATTTAATGGGTGTCAAACAAGTCCTAAATACATAAACAATAATAAAGAAACTATGCGATTGTATCCAAAAATTGAATTGTCCTGGGATCAGAGAAAGTGCAAGTTCTCTCCAGTTAGCCTGTAGTTTGAGTCGAGATAATTAAACAAATGCACCTTTAGGACAACAAAGTTCGATCAGATATTAAGAGTGATTCACGGGTGTCATTTGCGATGAAGAATTCTAGTGTCTTTGATTCAAATGCGATAATATGGTGCAAAATGTTCTTGTATCTTTCACACCCTATCTTGGCTCAGTATATCCAGTATACGCTGTTACTATATTCCCTCAGGTGTAGTTGCTTATTGTTCTTTAATGCATTAGATGTCCATACATGTAGAGAGCACTGTTGCACTTTGAATTTAAACCATGTCATCTAGAAGTTATGAAATTAGTTGAATTCTGAAGTTGCCTAGATGTCGGTCTCTTTTCCAGGCTCAGCTGGTTTCTGTTTCATCTTCAGAAAGCCAACATCCAACAGCAGGAAATGACCCACACCAGGATGAAGCTGCAAGCATGGGATCTCAGTTTCGTTCTGGTTCTACACCTGTGGATTATTATGCATTGCAGAGAGATAATGAGTTTCCTGAGAGACCTGGCCAGCCAGAATGCCAATTCTATATGAAAACTGGGGACTGCAAATTTGGTGCAGTCTGTAAATTTCATCATCCCAGAGACAGGCTTATCCCTATTCCAGACTGTGTCTTAAGTCCAATTGGGCTTCCTTTGAGACCAGTAAGCAATTTTGGTTATTTTCTTAGCCTACTTTACGCAACTTACCGTAAGCCATTATCTTAACTCTTTCATGTTAGCTTTCAACTACTTCTCTTGAAAAGCTTGTTGCACACTTTTCCATCTGAGATCTATGTAATTTCGTGGTTCTATATGGCTTTAATAAGCACTGATTTTGGGCATTGAAAACAATAATTTTTATCTGTGAACAATCTTATCAACATATTTGGCACGTTAGCCAGTTCTTTTAGTTAGATCCCAGAAATATCCTTGGTGCACTCATTTTACTTGCGAGTTTGGTATGCCATCCTCCTTTTTGCCTCTCTGATTGCTTTGTTCTCTTTATCTTGCTTCAATATATTTGAGTGCACCATTGTTCTTATCTTTGCATGTTTAATTTATTGCAAAAGTTTGGCAAAGGGTGAGGCATATTGAAAGAAAGCGGACATACCAAGGTAATTCTCAGATAATCATGAATAGCAAGATAATGATAAAATTGAAAAGGTGGCACAGTGGATGATATCCCTGCTGGTGCAATGTCTAAGAGGTCAGTTCAGCCATACCCTCAGTAGAGAAGATGAAACTGTGATTTGAACTTGTAAACCGAGGTCTAAAGGAATAACTTACTCTTTCCATGGCTCACTCCAACATAGTAATAAGATTAGGAGAATTTATTGTCAACTAATGACAATTATCTAGTAACAATTGAAAATAAGTAAAGTAGACCATGTCATAGCTTAAAAGAACAATTTCATTCCCTCAGACTCTTTGACTTTTGTTCTTCCCATCTCCTAGTGCTCTAGTTAAATGTTACTGTTTTTAAATCCTTCGTGAAGTTAATTACCCTTCAACTGTCTGCTGCTTTATAATCTTAATACATAATGTCCTTTCTTCTGCAAAAGGGAAAATTCTTTTGCTGTGATGAGCCGAAACAGCAGATCTCAATAAAAATGCTGGGCATTTGATTACAGAAGATATTTTACACCAAAGAGAAATTTGTGCTATATTGCGTTAAGATCTGTTATCAACCATGAAAGAAAATATTTTTATTTTGTATAAAGTTCAATATATAGTTTCTTTACAAACTTTTAAATGTTTTGATCTTCTTTTCAATGCTTTTTTAAGGTAAAGGTTATTTTTGGATAAAGGTTATTTTTGCATTATGGATTTATTATTCTGAATTCCTCAAGATTTTCTGGCATAATTGTTTATCCTTAAAGAATTTCAGAAGCTTAATTTTTAGTTTCAAGATTTCATCTGATCTCCTGGAGATCATATGCTCTTTGGACAGTAGTCACAAAATAATGAAGCCACTGTCTGGAAATTTTTGTTTCTTTGCTCTAGCTGAAGTCTTGAAATGGTTTAATCCAGAATTTCTCCATATTATTAAGCACTTTTTTGGGCTCCATTTTAATTTTAATACATTTTTCTATTTCTTCTTTTCAACCACACATTTTTCAATAAAATAATATTACACATAAACCCAAAAATTCTTTCTTTTTTAACCACACATTCTTCAAAAAAATTCTATTCCAACATACATTTTTCCGAAAGCTTCATTAAAATGGAGCCCAAACAAGGACTACATGTACAGACAGGTATGAATGGTTGTAACCACATACTGTTCTTTGTCCATTTCATTTAGGATTAAATTTCCATTTTCTCGTTCTTTTATTACATCTTCCCTTTAAAGTCAAGGACCGGGATCTTCATTTTTATTTTTATTTTTTTCTGTGGGGGGAGGGGGAACTGAAGTTTACAGTCTGACACGAGCTAAAGGAAATAGCCCCTAATTGGATGGTATTCTGAGTAGTTTCTTGGTATGGCCATTTGTGGTCAAATTTATAAATTTGCATGAAGAGTATGGAATGAAAAATAAAAATTTGATTATACTTTTTTGTGGATACATAATGATTATCAGAGGCATTTTTCCGTTTAGAATATTTGATTTATTTAGTTTCAGCAGGCATTTGTAATTATGTTGTTCAACATTTTGTAGACGTATCACATCTTTGAAACATAGTTTGACATTATTCGAAAGTTGGAAATCATAAAAAGGATGAAAGATTAATGAGGAAAGAATAAGAGGAAGGAGAAAGAGACGTGTTACTATAGCTAACCTTTCCTTTACCTAGGTTATTTCAAAGATATCAACTGAGAATTTCTTTTTTACACTTTTTTCCTTGTTGGTTTTAGGGAGAGGCTGTGTGTCTTTTCTATTCTAAATATGGAATCTGCAAGTTTGGTCCAAGTTGCAAGTTTGACCACCCAATGAGGGTTTACACATACAATCTTGCTGCATCATCATCAGGGGATGCACCAGAAGTTCGTCGTTTTTTGGCTTCATCATCAGGAACTGGTGTATCAAGTTTGCCTGGGAAAGGGCTTGTGGAAGCAAGCTCTACAAATAACAGAAGACTATCTTAGTCTGAAGCAAGACAGATACCCTCTGATGATGATCAACATTGACTCAGAATGATAAACTGATTCTCCAAACACAAGTTTCAATCTCTGGAGAATATAAATTTCAGTTCATGTACATTCATTCCCATGGATGGAGATGTATAGAGCTCAATTTGAAGTGAAATTTCAGCACTTCACTGCGTTGTATAAATCTGCAAATATGGTCACATTTGGTGAAACTAATAGAGAAGATTTCATCAATCGTACAGATATGTGCTCTCATCACTCTCTTAACCTGAAGTTTCCCAATTTTGATTATTTTTTTTTTTTCCATTTTTTTGTAATTTGTTTAGATTCGAATTTTCGAACTCGAAAAAGTGAGTACAATCTCTATTCTCTAATTTCATAATTTGTTGTTTATTTAAACAATTTACAACAGTTAGCTCGTCATCTTAGTCATCTAACCAAAATATTTGGACTCTACAAAATGCCTAATTGCATTATAGCCTTTGGTAAAATGAAGATTTAAAAGTTGTTTTTTTCTAAATTATGAAGGTAGTATTTCTTTGGCATTAGAAAAGGTAAATGATGCGTATATTTAAGAATAAAATTATATAATTCTTACCATATCAATTTAACTTTTTTCGAGTTCCAAGTATATGATAATCGCATGCTCGGAGCACCTACATGATATGAAACATTGGCAAGTACCAACTCCTTTTATTTACTTCAGTTGTTAAATGCACAATAATTTCGCTATTAGGCATTATCTAGTATGTATCGTGATTTACACACATTACCTGCATATTTATCAATATTCCAAGACATAAGGGCTTTAATGGAAAATTATATTTTCAATCTTGCAAATCAAATAGAAACACATGTTTTGACTTGAAAATGCGACCTAGTCCTTCCACAAGTTTTATCAACAACTATACATAGAGGATGTAGGTTTGGGACTTGTTCGATAGTGATTTTGATATTAATTTTTTGATCGTTAGAGAGAAAAATGGATCCTACTTGTGAAATAAAAAATTAAAAATGACGGTTGAAATAATGAAATAACAGTTAAAATCACTACCAAACATGCACTTATTTATTTCATTTGTACTGTATTTTTAAATTTATTTATTTTAAAAATTATACACGAAATATTTCGTATACTATTTTAACTCACATCGGTTCCAAATCCTAATAAAGGAAAAAGGATTTTTACAACTTCAAATTGATTTGATCGAACACTCTTTACAAAATTGTTTACAAATTTTCACCTACGTCGAGCTTCCCAAAAATATAAAAAGAAAAAAGAAGGTCATTCTACTTTTATGAAATTAAAAGGCAGGACAATGAGCCCCACCAAAACGCAAGATGGAAGAGCAAGCCGAGTCGAATTTTTTTGGACAAGCTGGCTCGTGCTTAGCTAATCCTGAAGTGACCACGAGCCGGCTTGCGTGGTAGGCGCACATTAACACTCCTACCTGAGGCAGGCAACCACCAACTCTCACCCCCATTCCCACTCTCACCTCAAAAGATAACAAATTTTGCTATTTGTACACTGATTTTTAACACTTTATTTGACACTTGCATTGTTTTCAAATGTTAATTGAATTACTAGTTTAAAAAACTATCCAATAAGGTAATGATTTATGACAAAGTGTAAACTAAAGTGTATACCATAGTGTACAAGTAGAAAGGTTGAAAAATTACTGCCAAGGCAAGTACAGGTGCTACGCACCTGTATGGTTGCTTCCTTTTTTTTTTTTTTTTTTTTTTTTGCGTCTCCCAATGAAAAAATGCCAAGTCCCTTGTACACCAAGCATTGCTCTAAGTAAAATGAAAAGAAAACTAAATGAGTTCGTTTAACACAAGTTCTTCTCGGCAAACTAGTCTCATTTCCTCGCCCAGTCTGAATGACAAAATATGTAAAATTATAAATACACAGAAGCAAAAAAACATTCTAATAACTTTTGTCTCCAAAATATAACAAGAAAAAACTTCAAAACAATGACATGGAATTAATCAGTTCTTCACGACGTGGACAATCCATGACCCAAGGTAAAGATGTATCCAGTATCTTGATATCAATCTACAACCACAAACACGAAAACAGTTCATACATTTGAAAGTAGTTTTCCACAATTCCTGCGCAGCACACTACATTCGCACTCTACTCTAGTATGGCCACCAGTCTGGGCCACCAGGCTTCTTCACTAGGATCTGATTATATTCAGGTCTTGAGGTCTGCAGGAAAGTTTAGAAATAGCTATATAAACTCTCGTACTCAATACTAAATTACAAATCGAAGCAGGGGAATGAGAGACAAACAAACACACACAAGACAACAAAATATAGGTACGCCTCAGATTCTCAGAAAGCAAGAATTCCAGATGATGGATTCCGGCTATAAGAATATTGACTACTTAAATGACTAAATGGTCCAATTCAGAAAAAGAGCTCACTCGTAATCGTGTGTGTATATATATATATATATATAAGCTTAAAATGATGCAAAGTTACTTTATATTAATGGGGCATAAAAATAGAGTAATGTGTCATTGTTTACTGTATCTTTACCTTGGCTCTGATGCAACAAAAAACAACAAGTTAATTAAGCAAATTCCTAGAGAATTGAAATATTTACACGCTTATTCTCAAAATTACACCAACTTACAGTATATCTAATCAATGGTCATCCATACTCTATATGCAAGTACGATAAGATGCTTAGCCCCAGTTTGACTACCATTACTTCGAGACTCTTTTTTCTACATACATATTTTCAACCGCGTATTCACGTAATAATATGCAGGTAAACTCAAATCTTTTCCCTACTCTTGACCACACATTCTCAAAAAAAAAAATTAATAATAATAATAATAAAAAAATTTTAAAAAAAAATCGCTATTCAGAACTCCATTTTACCCAAATAAAGGTTGTCAGAGGCTTATTTTCAATTGAATAACAGTCGACTGCTGATTGATGAAAATTTTATACTGGTTATCTCGAAAATGAAAATAGTCAATAATCAAATAATAATCAATGAGAAAAAACTACGTAATAAAGATCAATTATAGAATTAAAATTAAAAAATTAAATAAGATCAGGAGACTAACCAGATCTTTGAAAATGAGGAAAGCGACGACGAAGAAAAGTACGAATAGGATCTCGAATTCCGCTAAACGGACGAATGCAAACACCGAGTTCACAGCCCGAGTTACCACACCCACCGATTCGGGTTCGCCATCCCTTCTTCGCCGGCCCCCCACTGCTCCTGCAGTTCTCTTCCCCATTTTATTAAAATCACCACAACTGATTGTTAATTTCTCCGCTCCCTTGGAATCACCTTTTCGAATCAATCAGTAATGAATACGTAATATAATTGAAATCGAAATTGGTAATGAGAGAGATTACCCTTCAAATGTTAATTCGATGAACGAACGATCGAAGTTGAATCAGACATATTGGGGATTTCTTCTTTTGACTTTGACCAGTACTACCCACGGCGCAGGTAATTAATTTTAGGGTAATTGGCGAAAAATCCCTATTGTTGCCTTTATTACGAAAATCATCCGTCATTTTAATTCTTTGCATGCAAACCCTCAAATCGATCTTTCTATCCGTGAAACATCCTTATGGTCTATTTCCTCCTTTAAAGTTACATCTCTCTTCAAAAAGAAAAGAAATAATTGCAATCAGAGTTTCCAAATCTTTTCAAAAAGTCATAACAATTAAAAATAAATTTAAAAAGGGAAAAAAATGTTTCATCTTTGAACTTGCATAAAACTTATATTCTTTATTTTTTAATAATCTTCAATATGCTATTTATTTTATATAAATACGTGCTCTTTAAAATAAAGAACATTACTGAAGATGCTCTTATACCATATATGAGGGCCTCATGTATTTGAAGGGGACAAGTCAAGTCATTGTTATCCCAACACTAGGATGATGGAGAATTGGATTTCAAGGATATATTACTTAAAAATAATTTTGGGGCCAAGTCAAGTCATTGTTATGAGAATGAGCCCAACACTAGGATGATGGAGAATTGGATTTCGAGGATCTATTACTTAAGAATAAATCTTGGGGCCAAGTCAAGTCATTGTTATGAGAATGAGCCCAACACTAGGATGATGGAGAATTGGATTTCGAGGATCTATTACTTAAGAATAAATCTTGGGGCCAAGTCAAGTCATTGTTATAAGAATGAGCCCAACACTATGATGATGGAGAATTGGATTTCGAGGATATATTACTTAAGAATAAATCTTGGGGCCAAGTCAAGTCAGTGTTATAAGAATGAGCCCAACACTATGATGATGGAGAATTGGATTTCGAGGATATATTACTTAAGAATAAATCTTGGGGCCAAGTCAAGTCAGTGTTATAAGAATGAGCCCAACACTATGATGATGGAGAATTGGATTTCGAGGATACATTACTTAAGAATAAATCTTGGGGCTAAGTCAAGTCATTGTTATAAGAATAAGCCCAACACTAGGATGATGGAGAATTGGATTTTGAGGATATATTACTTAAGAATAAATCTTCTTGGACAAGGCCACATAGGCCCTGTCTACATGGCCAACGCTAGGATAATGGAGAATTGGATTTCAAGGATATATTACTTAACAATAAATCTTCTTGGACAAGGTCACGTAAGCCCTGCCCATCCAACAATATCCATTACTTCATTGGTGAAGTTTGAATAGTTAAGAATAAATTTGAGATTATTACATTTTTTAAGAAATGAAATGAAAATATGAAAAGTTATTCTTTTAAATGTTCGTTCCATTCAATTAATGAAAAACAAAATTATTTATGGAAAATATGAAAGAAGTAGAGGTCGAGCTAAATCGTAGAGTTCATGAAAGAAGACTACGGAAGTGGAGGACAAGCTCGTCTATGTCAACAAGTTGAGATCGACCAAGTTAGCTAGCACGACTAGCTCGACACGACTATTGCTAAACACTTGAAGGGTGTGATAATAGGTTACCCAAAATAAAAGCTAACGTATGATATAATTCTAGAACCAATGTGATGTGACTAGCTAATATACCATCTAAAAGTACCTTAGATTACCCACAACCTCCATATAATGTGGGATATGCAAGAAATTTGGGAAGTTTTGAGTCAATTTGTAATTGTTCAACTTTTAGGGGTTTCAGTAGAAATATTGAGAAACTAGCTTTTGATTAAGAATACGTTTAATTGTTTCCTTTTGCATTACCTTTTGAAAACTTGTTGACGTGAATATTTCTATCTTCAATCCATATCAACAATCTTAACAAATGCATACCGATCGAATTGGGATGTCGAGACTTAGTTAAGTTTTATTTATTAAAATCAATGTTTTTTCTATCATATATCATCTTCTTTGACAGACGGCTTAATATTGTATTATTTGCAACATTAAATAATTGAACTATTGTTGAATAAAAATAGTTTACTTCGCAAGACCCTAAACTTTCATGCTTAATATGTCATTATAAGTATAGTTTTGAAACATTCATGGTAATTTATTAAGTTTAGAATACTAAGACCCGAACGTTCAATGGTTTTATTTTTGCAATGATGGTCCTCAATTCTTTTATTTTAGCACTTATGTTCCCACCCTTTTTTTTTAAGCGCATTTGTATCTTTAACATTCAATCAACTAGTATATCTTGTCTCTTGTAACTATTTCGTCCAAATATTCTGCTAGTATGGGAAAAACTATTTTGTTTAATTGTCATATTTCTATTATTTATCTTGCTTCTTAAAAATACGAGAGGCAAATAAGTCTTCGGCATCCTTTCTAACCAATTTTTTGGACACCGTCAAGGATATAATGCGCGTGTTAGTAGAGATTGTGGATAAAAATCTACCAAAAAGAAGCTAATAACATACAACGAAAATGAGCAAAAATTAGAAACCTTCATTGAAATTAAAATTTGGTGTAGTTAACAAAAAATTTTATTTGAATATAATTAACCTAAATATTCGGGTTTTTAGGATTTAACCCCCATCAAATTTTCAACTTAATTCAAAGTTAAGCTAAAATTTTAGATAAAAATAAGTACTTTTTATCCAAATAATTACTACCATCAAGAAAAGCGAAAAGTGCAAAATTGAACTTCTATATTATATTTTCTTCAAATAAAATAAAAAGTAATTAATTAATAGTAGAAAGCATTTTTAATTTATACTGGAAAGTCCTAGTCAGCACATCAATGGATACTATCTAAAATGACGTAATAGCCAATTAAGAGAGGAAGTGATATTGTAGTGCCAAAAATTACCCTGCAATAAAACAATAAAACAAAAGTTAATTTATAACATTAAACATACATATAAACATAAAATTATAAAACTACTTTCCATAATTATTTTATAAGCAACTTACAGAGTACTAAATAATTGTGAATGCAATCCATACTCTTGAGCAAAAACGAAGGACGCAATCGCTTGTGGCAGCGCCGCCTTTAACAAACAATATTGAATTTATATATAGACGATGTTGCCTATTTAATTTGAATGATTTCAACGTATTTTCAAATCAAAACATTAAATTGAGTTAAATCATAACATGTACCTCGATAATTGCTACACGAAAGATGTCACCGTGCAGACGTAACACAAAACAACCAATAGCCATACTTATTGGCCCAACAACGAACCTCAATACCATCCCCAATAACGTTAGACGGATACCACAAGCTATTACCTTTTCTTGCAATGCCATAAAAAGTCCTGCACATATGTACATACATAAGAAAAATAATATATCTAGCCATGTTTGGTGTAGCGAGAAAACATATTTTGAGTAGATTTTAATAAAAACTAATAAAAGATGTGGTTAAAAAATTATTAAAATTGTGGGTTTCATGAAATGTTTCGTGAAAATTAATTGATTTTTATCAACTTTTAAACTACACCAAACGGAGACCTAAAAATGAAACATTACATACATACATACCCATAGTGAACATGGCAACGCCACCCCCGGCCCTTGACATTATCAATATTGATCCTTCAAGAATGGAGGGCATTTGTAAATTCCACCTAAAAGCACGCAGGCAAAACGGAAAGTTGAATTTTTCTTTGATAATAAACTGTAAAATTCTGTAAATCTATACGTATCATGTATGTATATATTACCTGTTAGCTAAAAGGGCCCAAATGATGCCAAGAGAGCATGCATAAGAATTTGGATTCTTGGCAAGTTTACTCCACACAGTCTTCATCAGCGAGAAGAAAGATGGTGGTGTTCTACTCGCAGTAGAATTAGAATCTGCGTTCTCTTCCACAATATCATCATTTCTCCCCATTTCAATCGATGACAATTCTTGTACGGTCGAGATTACCGATGTATCGCTCCTCGTACGTCTGAATTCGAGCAAGAATAATAGTGTGGGGAACCACAAGAGAGACTGTATGACCGACAACTGTATAACAAGATTAGCTCCCATTTCATCGTACATGGCTTTCAATAGTGGCACTCCTACGACAAGAGTGTTATTGAAACTAGATAAAGAGAAGCATGTTACCGACCAATCGTACGTCCCTTTGCTACTTAAATTAGCCCACAAAGCTAACGCTATGCCGACTAGGGCTTTGGATATAACATCCGCGGCAAGAAAGAGATAATTCATCTTATAAGGATTGACATGAGACGTGAACTCGAATGTGAAAAATGGCATAATGAAATAGCAATTGAAGCGGTTTATAGCATCACAATGATCTGGTTTAAACATATGCCACCATTTTAACGAGCCATAGCCTAGTGCTAGTGCAGCGTATAGTGGCACCATGGCCACTATTATTTTGTAAACATCTTCCCACGCTATCATTTTTCGAGGATTTTTTGTTTTGTTTTGAAAGTAAACTTCACAAATATGAAATGTTTTTGCATGCATATATGTGTATATATAGTGAAATCAGGTATAGTTAATGGGATAGTCATTAATTAATTAATAATGGAATATGCTTTTGCGTTAATGGAAAATGGAAACTGATTTTGTTGTGTTGTGCCCTAATAATAGTGCACCTTAGTCACCTCACTTGGTATAAAGAGGGACCCACTTGTCTGAAGGAAGAGAGGTCAAATCACTATGCTAAGGCTATCTCAAATGTATGCACCAAATTTTGTTGCAAATTTCCTCCAATGTGCCACCAAACTTTGTATCATTGGTGCAACACTATTCGTTTTGTACTGATGCAAAGTGTATAATATCATTTTTTTGCCCTTATTTTTCATTTTCCATACAAATTGATTAAGGGTATTTGTGTCATTTGTGTTATATATTTTTTAATACAATAAATTATTAATATTATTATTTGCATTTAAAAAAAATTAAATATAAAAAATAATAATTAATGAATTAATTAAAAGAAAAAAA